TTCCCGGCGCCCTTATACTACCCCGGCAGCAACCTCTCCGCCTTACCTCTTTACAACCTCTACAATAAGCTCGATTACTGAGACCGGACTCAGACGACCTGCGAGGCCAACCGGCTCCGACCCAGGACGCGCCCTTGCGCCCTTTTCTTCACCCATCAGTCTGTTGTTGATCGGAAAGAAGAATTGTGCTTTTGGCATTGTTAAGAAATACACCATGTGTATTCATTGCTATTATATTATATTATATATATATATATATATATATTTGAAATATTTATGGGAATCCTCTTTGGGGTGGTTTCTTTTGGTTGTTTTCTAGGCTGGAGAAAGAATTATATGACTTCCGCCTTCTCTTATTTGGTCTCGTTCCTGGTCCAGACGTAGCTAAGCCGGCTTGTTGCTGCTGGGAGGGGCGGGGGGGGGCCTCCTCTTTCCAACCGAATGGGGAGAAGAAAGTCTTCGTGTGTCGGTAGGCAAAGCCAAGAAACCCACTACCGTTCCCGAGGCTCTTCCCACCCTTCCGGCTTCACCCCGAGTATTTATTATACCTTGCAGAAAGAAAAGCAAAACAAAAGGGTTGGGTTTGGGTTGGGGGGTGGCGCAAGAGAGGCAAACTTCGGGCCTGTACATATTTTTAAAGAAAATAAAAAGAATTTTAACGCGTCGTTGGCTAATTTGGGCTAGATTGCTTATGACGTAGCCTGCTTGGCTTTTTTCTTGGCAAAGCGCTTGGAAGTTGGGGGGAAGTTTGGGCGCTTGGGGAAAAGTTTCCTCTGAGCATAAAGAGCTTCCTTTTTGGGGATCGGGGTGAGAGGGAGGGAGGGCAACCAGAAAATTTTGAGTAATCGTTGGTGTTCTAAAGTCCGACAGCATTACTTGGAAATCAATTGTAGGCGGGCCTTGATCAAGGCAAATGTGAAATATTAGTTATTTAGGAATTCACATGGCCTACAACACAGCTTCCATAGACCCAGGTGTGGGTGGGGGAGGGGGGACAATGAGACGCAATTTGCCTCTTTCAGATTTCTTAGGTAGCAATATTTAATTGTTTGGCTCAATGAACTTGTCTTCTTGGAAGCATCTCTGTGAGGACACACATGCCTTATACTTACGAAGTGTACTGTGCACGTCTAAGAAGTCTTACTTCTGAGAAGACATTTCCACGACCAAATTGTTAAAATCCTCTTTATCATTTAAGCAACATGATTGATAAATACTGAATGCTCGCTCGAGGGTTGATATTTCACAATTAGCTATTTTGGCTGGGTTACAAAAGGTAGAGCGTTCTTCTAAAAACAATCTGTTTACATTTTGTGATTCAAGGTCCCTGGTGGATTAAATTTAGGAATCTTGTTTCTAACAATTTTGGCTGCGTGCTCAGTTCAGCAGTCCTTCTTGATTTTTAAATCCCCCAATCTATTTCATCCAAATAGAATTTGTTTGAAATTGGATCTCCTTTATTTATATGGTTTTCTTTTCTTTTCCATCTCACCTAGGTTAATTCCTTGATTTAGAGAATATAGAATCCACATCAGAATTTAGAGAATTTATCATTTAAGCAACACAGAGCAACTTAGAGGATTCTGACGTGGATCATTTTCTGGGGAAAAAAACTCAGTGTAGATCTTGGATTAATATAAACTATTCAGTTGGAAGAGCTACCTTTTGAAATCAATAGGATGAACAGTTAAAGATGACAGTTGATTTGAATGGCACAATCGGATGACTTAAACGTGCTATTTTCAGCCAGCCTATTGATATTCACGATAGCATCTACGTCTATTTCTGTGCCCCAGATCGGTCATTTTCAACTGCTATTAACAGGTATCGCCCCATTGAAATGTAAAGGAAAGTTCCATTGATAAACAGCAGATGCGAAAATTTCAATCGCTCCTGGATTGAAGCGGTTCCTGGTTTTCTTTATTTGAAGAAAAGGGGAAAAAAGGGAGGGGACTACCTTCTCTATTAAGTAATCCGAATTGACAAGTGTTTCCGGAAATGGGCTTTCTTCAGAATTTGAGGCGCATTCTGTTCAACGCCACAATCTCAGGTAAAGTACTTTCACCAGGCCTTTTAAAAACCAGAAAGTGACATTATAGCCCACCCGTGATTGATCTGAGAGTTCACCCAAGCGCTGAAAAACACCTGCAGCCTCGGATGTGCAGAAAAGAGACCGCTAATCATTTAAACAAACAAAAAAAAAAAACCCCAAAAGAGCAAATGGTTCATCAAGTGTTAGTTAAATTGCAGGAGTCGTTAGGTGGTTTAGTGCAGCCACCTGTTCCTTGGTTAGTTTCGGATCTTAAGAGGGAAGGCTATTTGAAAATGCACCGAGTATCTAAAAATTACATTCACGATGTTTTTTAAAAAGATGGGGGATTAAGAGTTTCCAAATCCTCAACGGTGTATGCATTTTGGGGGAAATTAATATTTAAAAGTCGAATCCAATCTCTCTTTGCTCAAACAAATAAAACATGCTACTGAGATGCTTCATATTAAATCCATGTCCCCCCCACAACAAATGGTAAATACTAGATAGTAGATCAGCTGTAATTCTAGGTTTTTCAGTACTAGCAAAAAATAAAAAACCAAAAACATTCATTTAGAGCCTGGGAAATGTATTTTTCAGCCTCAGACTATCTCCAATAGATATAGGCGAAACATTGCTAAACAGTTTGCTTTGAGGATAATTGAATTTATAAAAGCCTAACGCTTCGGAATGAATTCGTTTAGGGTCCCTACCTCCAGAGAAAGGATGTCCTACAGAACGGCTATTGATCTTGTGAATATGACATGCTTTCAATATGTGTGCTTAGTTCTGTGGTCTTAACCTGGACTCTTCTCCGCTTTCAGATTTTCAAATAAAGGAATCACTTAAAGGAAGCAATCCTTTGTGTTTACTCAGATGTCCCTCCCTTATCATAATCTAAAACAGAAGCCTCAAAGTGGAGTTTTTATATAAATTGACTGCATTTTTGTCGCATTTTAATTTGCCACTCCCCATTACTCACAGTACATATGTTCCTTCTATCCCAAGACATTAATTCTTGAATAGCAGCAGGATCTCTCTCTCTCTCTCTCTCTCTCTCTCTCTCTCTGTGTGTGTGTGTGTCTGTCTGTCTGTCTGTCTGTCTGTCTGTCTGTCTGTCTGTCTGTCTCTGTATATATACACCGGCTAGAGCCACAATTTTCAGGATCGAACCCGTCTAAATCAAAACAAATATTGTTTCAAGTAAGGCAAGATGCTCATCTCTTGTTGCAAGACCACATCGCAGATGAATCCCTCGCACTTTAAAACCTGAGAGCTGATTGTGCTGGCTAGACCGGCAGTGATAAAGAATTAAACACTTTGGATCTAAAGCTTTTAGGAAAATGACCAAAAGCTACAGAAAGTAAAAAAAGCCATGACCGCTCCCTCTGAATCAGTGACAAAGCCAGACTTTGGGGAGGAAGAGCTATATAACTTTCTTTGCAGATGATGGATTCCCTCCCCCTCCCCCATTAAAGCGCCTTTATAATTAATCTATCTGTAAATGTGAGTTGTCCTGATTCATCCACAATCACTAAGGCTCACTGAGCTGCTGCCTTTCCATGCGGAAACCTTTTTCCAAGTTTTTAAATCAATTGTGGGGGGGGGAGGGGGGAGACAATCTGAATTAACACCTTTCCCGACATAGGTCATGAAACTCTATCAATCAGTTAATTCTATTTAATTAGGGAACCACAGGTTTTCGCAAAAGCCTCAAAACACGAGAGGAATTTTTAAAAGCTACATTTTTATTACCAACGATAATACACTTTTGTTAATAGTTTCACGGGGAGAAAAATGTGAAAATTCGGAGAAACAAACGTAGCCCATATACGATTTATTAAGAATCTACACATTAATAGCAGAGATTAAAAAGAGTCTTCTTTGGAAAGCAAATTGACAAGTGTATTAATAGCCAATGAGATGTTTATTTTATAGCCAGGACATAATGAAAGGAAAAGTAGGATTTGCTTTGAAAAGGTATAATAGGAAAAATGAATTCCTCGCGGGGGAAATAAAAAAATCTGTGCCACTCTATTATTTTCTTCTGCTTTGGATAGACTTTTGGCTGTGCTGGAAATGCTGGGCTTCTCAAGGCGAAAGGTGGCTTGAATGGGTGTTTTGCAGGAAGACACCGAAGAATAGAACTGGTTCTATTTGCCTACGAATTTTTAAATGATCGGATGGCAAACGGATGGCCTACTCGTTCTTTTGAACCGAATTCTGACTAAAATCAGGGGACCCTCTGATCACAAGTGGGAGGGGAGGGGCGGTTTAGTCAGACAGAAATAGCTGCTTTATGTGAATTCTTTGCTCCCCAATGGGAGCATCTTGATAAAGTGTCCTTTTATCTTGGTTAGAGAAGAATAAATGTTGTAGTGGTGCTTCCCTTCCGTTTTTCAGGACTCTGCTTCTCTGAATTAAGGAGCTTTGCAATCATGCTCCCCCTTTCATGCACCTGCCAGATAGGGTAGGTAGATTGGTTTGACCTGGGCGACCGGATTTTTTTCCGATTGAAGAAAAAAAAAATCGCAGCCAACAGATACACAATCTTTATTGCCGCCTAGCGATCATTCGGATTTTTGCACTCGAGAGGTGTTAGTCACAACTTCATCTTTAGGCTTGAATCCCTTTTAAAAGTCCAAAGATCGCCCCGACGAAGGGGAAAAACACCCGCAAACTTAAATCGGTGGTGGTTCCTTAAAAGTTCTCTCTCAGTTGCTTTTTGTCCCGATGCTAACAGCGCCGCTTGAGACGAAGATCTTAGATCCGAGACAGCTGACGTGAAGGGAAACGCCCACTTTCCTCCCCCCCCCCGCTCAAAAGCAAAAGCGGCCGACGAGAAGCTTTGGAGCGCACTGCATGCCGGACCTTGTAGTCTTAGCTTCACAGAGCGCGCGGGTCTGCCCGTGCGTGCCGCGGAGTTATTCAAACCAGCCAATCCCAAGCCAGGAGCTCGTTTGTCGGCGCTGAGGCTACTGGGAGGGAGGATCGGCCCGGTGGATTTGCGCGCGCGCGCTTCACCCTGCGTCTGGTCTGGAGTGGAAGAGCGGTTGGCGCGGGAGGCGTCGCTCGGAGTAACGCTGGAGGACAAAGTAAGTGTGCGTGGGGAACCCTCGTGGTGGGGGAAGTCTTACCTATGAAGTCTCTTCAAATCGAGGGAGGGCTCTATGAGAAACGAAGTAGGCCTTTTGATCCATCCCCACGTTACTGGAGCTGAGGGCCCCGGTTTTCTTTTCCGCTTTTCTTTCCCTCCCCCCCCTCCCTCGCATCATGATTTCCTTCCTTCCTTTCTTTTTCCTGCCTTCAAGGCTGCCTAAGTCAGGGCAGTCTTTGGCCGCTTAAGTAAGCATGGAAAGTATTCAACGGGCTGATTTTCTTCTATGGGGACGGTAGGAAGGCCACCCAGGCAGATCACCAGCATCCTGCGGTGGATCATGGGCGCTCTGATAAACGAGAAAGGTGTACAGGTAGGCCTCAGTCCATTTAGTGACAGTTACAGTGGCACTGAAAAAAGAGGTATGACCATTTTTCACACTTACGACTATTGCAGCATTCCCGTGGTCATGTGATTTACATTCAGATGTTTGACAGCTGGTTCACATTAATGATGGTTGCGGTATCTTGTGCTCATGTCGTCAGCTTTTGTGATCTTCTGACAAGCAATGTCAATGGGGAAGCCAGATTCACTTAACAACCATGTTGCTAACTTAACAACTGCAATGATTCACTTAACAGCAGTGGCACGAAAAGTTGTAAAATGGGGAAAAACTCACTTAACAAATTTCTCACTTAGCAACAAATTTTGGACTCAGTTGTGGTAAGTCAAGGACTATCAGAACAGCTAAAGCAGCTGTTCTGATCAGTCACTGTAATAAAAGTGTGCTATGACACATTTTTGTCATCTGAAGCCCTTTAGAAATTTTAGGACCACCACTTCCAGAATCTTCATATTAGGAAAAAGTTGATCCGCAGTGATAAAAGACAGGATGAGCTTTAGAAGAAAAAGCACTGAATTTGAAGTCGAGGAGCTGAAGGGCTACTAGAGCTGGTTGTAAACATCTGGACAATTACAAGATGGCAGCCAGGCATTAAGACTTTGCTGTCATTTACAATAGGTAGGATCTAGGTTTTTATAGGCCAGATTTGGTAATACCACTACTAAAAGTATCAAAGACAAGACCTCTTGCTATGCGTGTGCATTTTTTAAAAAATAAAGTCCAATTCTGTTTATCTGTACTTTGTTACTTGGTTTTCTGTTTTTTCCCCCTTTTAATTCTTTTTATGAGAATTAGTCACTTTGGTCTAGTGGTTGACTAGACTGGAAAGTGGGAGACTGTGAGCTCTAGTTCTACCTTAGTTATGAAAGCCAGCTGTGTGACCTTGGGCCAGTCTCACACACACACACAGTCCAACTCACAGGTGGTTGTGGGGACAAAAGAAGGCCAAAAGTGTATTGGATATGTTTGCAGCCTTGAGTTATTTTTTTTAATATAATAAAGGCGAGATATAAATAAATGATTGCAGTGAATTCATTTGGGCTTATTGTCAGATAAGCATGTACTGGATTGTCCACTTAAAAAGCAAATTGGACAAGATTTCTAAAGTAACGGGTGTTGAGTTTGATCAGAAAAGAATCTGGTGATTTGAACAGTAATTCAGGTCAACTGTATTTCCATCTCTGACTGACAGTATTAACAATGGACTGCTTTATGGTTAGACAATAAAGTATAATAACAAAATATGTAGACTTTTAGAAAATACTAAATATATAAGTATTCTTATTATACCTACAAAATGTTTTTAGGATAGATTTGGGATGATAATATGAATTGTCACAAAACAAATTAAGTAAAATATTATTTTTCAAAGCATGAATGAATAAAAGTATAGTCAAATGATTGATTAATAATGATACCAATGTATTTAATATTGAATTGAAAATATGAGATCATATACAATGTAATTGTAATTGAAGACTGCGAAATGGAAGCACAAAACAATTTGTAAATCAACCAGCACACTTTATGTACATATATGGAAGATGGTCTGATATTTTTATGTTTTTTTTGTTTATGTTTGTTTTAAAAACCAATAAAAATTAAAAAAAAACTGGACTGCTTTGCAGGTTTGTTGTAAGCTGCAGAATAATATTTCAGATACTATTATTACTAGAGACAATGCCTCATAAATTTTATATGTAGGATAATGCTGGACTGTTTTTATTAAAGTAAAAGTAATTTCAATAATAACTTATGTTTGCCTTTTTAGTAACTGATATAGTCTTGGTATTTAAGATAAATAAAAATGATTAACGCATTTGAAAACTTATCTATAGCTAGAATGATTTTTGTTTTTTTTGTTTAAATCAATTATAACACTTTTTACAACATAAATATGCCATACCTATACCAATGGAAAATAATATACGTAGCTCAGCATTGAATGGTATGGAGTCCGTGGTACTTTCTGAGTTTGGCTGTTTGCTTGCAGATGTTTTATTATTCAACTAGGTAACGTCATCAGTACCACTAACATGCATATTAGCAAACAACTAACCTCAGGGAGCACCCATGATTCCACTGCCACAAATATGCATAATATGAAATTACATTCATAAAAATTAACATGAAATGTAAATATAGCAATATTACAAAATTCTTCAATTTATTTCATACTGAGCAGGGGCATGTTGTAATCGTATAGTTAAGAATTTTATAATGAAATGACTAAATAATAGTAATTGCACTTCCAAACATTTTTACCTAGAAACTTTAAGCAATAATTTAAAAATATGCATCTAACTTTGCACAATCTTATCAGATGACTGGATCAAATGAATTTAAGCTGAACCAGCCTCCAGAAGATGGAATCTCATCAGTGAAATTCAATCCAAACACATCTCAGTTTTTGCTTGTTTCTTCTTGGGACACTTCTGTTCGATTGTATGATGTTCCTGCTAACACCATGAGACTCAAGTATCAACATACTGGAGCAGTACTTGACTGTGCTTTTTATGTAAGTTTTTTTCTCCTCATGTTTTGAAATTTGAAAGTACCAAGAAAACACAAAGGAAATATTTAGTTCATCTAATAGGTGATCAGAACTTTGGGCTTCTGAAATGTGTTAGTGTTTTGCACATATGTAGACTCTTCCTTTCTGGAAATAGTATATTATCGTCAAAAATCTTTGCACTTCTACATGGCCTACTCTTTATCCAAGCATTCTATTAATTGGAGAAAATATGAATCAAGTTTGTTATGTATTAGCATAATTTTGGTGGTTTTCTTTATATGTGTATTGTGCCATATTCAAATTGGTTTAGATATTTTACAATAATAATAGCAAATTTTTTTTTGTAACTTGGGAAATTGGAAAAAAAGGTAAGTTTTGGGCTGATTATAGATAACAAATAATAAACTCAACTACCCAAAGACAAGACATAAAGAACAAGGATGAGGAGTTGGAATTGGAGAAGAACAAAATTCTTCATATTAGTTGCCACAATGTTCAGCTGTAATTTTTTTCTTGTTTCCTTATTAAAGTCTAGGTAGCAGGAAGAGTGAGTGCCACAATTTAAAAGGGCTAAAAGCTGAAATCTATACCTGTTCCTGATCTTCTGTTTTTTAGTCTGGTGGCATTACTCTTAACTAATTGATAGTTAAGAAAGAACACAATGCAAATGGTTTTTCAGAGGTGCTGGAATAATTTTTCCCCTTATTTAATTGTGTAGCATGTTGGAACAGTTGTTGCCAGGTGATTGTTGAAGGATGATTAAGACCTCATTTTAATAGGGGTGATAGAATAGCCTTATTTCCAATCTTCCCTTTTACTTTGCATCTTTAAGTGACTCCCAGATAATTGGCTTGTTGTATTGAAGATTTTGAAATAAGTAAAGGTACAATACAGTAAATCAAAATAAAATTGAATGACAGGTAATGAGTCAAAATTGGCCTGGGCACAATTTTTAATAGACATCTAAGTCAGAAATCACTTATGTAACTTTTCATAACCAATAATTTGTTCTCTCTCATATAATTGTTGCATCTTAGGTTAACCTTAAGTATTTTTTGAATACAATAACCTTGATACATACAAAGCAAAGTTAGCCCATGGAAGGAAAACCTCTGGATGTAGTTTGCTGACTTTATTAGAAGTAGCCCAAATTACATAAATAGTGGATAATTAATTTTTCCAGAACCTTTAATTGGGCAATTTGCTTTATTGGTAAGGGGAAGAAAAAAAGCAAACAGCTCAAAACTTTGACAGAATCAAAGTGTGACATCTGTAGAGCACTTAATCCTAAAATGATGACTCTTGACACAAAGACAGATAGACCTTAATCCAATTAATATTGTTGACAAATGTATTGAATGAGAGCTTACATTTTAATCTTTAGTTTTCAGTGTGTTTGGGCTACTGATTGAAAATAAACTCATCTCTAGTAAAGTAGTTACTGACACTGAGTTGAGCTATTCCTTCCTCATATCTTTTCTGATGTTTTCTGCTTATGTGTCCTGTCGGCATTACCATAAAATAACACGGGAACCCAATTACAGCAACCTACTAATTTCACATGCATGCAACATTTATATACTTTACAGATTTATATATAACAGAGGAAAAAGTGGCTTTTATTGTGTTTATTCTGCAATTATAGAACATGTGAATAACTTTGTTTTGAAGGACCCTACACATGCCTGGAGTGGAGGATTAGATAGGCAGCTGAAAATGCACGACTTGAACACTGATCAAGGTAAACTCGCATGATAGTGTCATAGAGTCTACAGTGAGAAAATAGAATAAGTTTGAATAGCTGAACGAAGAGGGCACCAATCCATTATTATCTGAGAGTAAATTTCCATACAGTCCTTGGTACTTATTTCTGAGTCAACTTATGGGACATCAATATAATTCAACAAAACAGAAAAATAATCAGGCCAAATTTCATAAATTATTGCTTTAGAAGTTTTTTAAAGAAAATGTTTCATTTTTCTCTATAAAACTAGCTGCCATTTTTTATTTAAATACTATATTATTCATTTGTCTAACAAAACAGCGTGAAGTGACAATATTATGTCACATACTGTAGACAGTGATTGTTTCACTTAGTCTGTCTTTTCTAGGTTGTATTTGTGGCAATTTAATGTCATAGGCTTCCTTCTCATAATCTATTTGCTGAGATTGTGGAAAATAGGCATTCACTCATCTATAAATTACCAAAATACCATGTCCATGTGTACCCCATTATTTGACATATTGGTATTCCAAATTATGCTAAATTGTTCCCGAAACTTCTTTCAGCTAAAACAAAAGAGGAACCTTCAAAGACTTTTTTAAAATAAACTTTGTATTTACTTGAATTTTTCTTTGAAAATTTTTCATGACAGATTTTCTCAGTTTTTTTAAAATCGGAGGCTAATGGTGCAATCTGAAGAAAGTAGCTTACTAAGTACATGAGTATAGTATATAATTGCAACACATGTAATTTGTTAAGAGTATATCTTCCAAGGCTCATCCTCATTATTTTAAAAACTGATAATTTATTTTTACCTGTGTTATTGGGAACTATGATCAGGCACTTAGATATTTGGAAGTAGAGTAGCTGAATGAAATGAAGTATTATGACATAAATTAATAAAAACTTTCCATAGAATGTTTGCATAAATTGAAGTTTTTGGAAAGCTCGGCTGCAACTTTGAAGGAAACAGTTATTTAAAGCAATAAAAGATTTTAAACTAAAAATTGTATTAAACATCATGTATAAAAGCTTCTAAACAGTTTAATACTATGTTGATAAAATGAATAGTAATGTAGGAAGAAGAACAAAGATTTGTTGAAATTGTTTTGTATCTTAAATAGTGGCAAAGGCGTGAACTAATGCGGTCATGTCACATTCACCAATTATTAGATCTTCCTGATAAGCTGTTCAGGATTAGAATTTTCAGTTGTGTCCAGCAGTTAAACGCGTAACTCTCTTTTATTCATTTGAAAATCTCTGCATGTGCACCAACTTCCCTGCTAAGCTTCTTTGAACTAGTGAGTTGATACCTATTAGTCTACATTAAACACTTCAGGAGTGTATATCTGTTGCAAAGATTAAAGGATCAAGCATTCTTTAAAGGATGCCCCAGCATCTACATAGATTAATGAATGGCCTGTCAAACCTTGATACTTGTGTGTGAATGTTGCCTTAATCTTTTTTTATTACATTTCACTATCCCTGAATCTAGTAAAGCTAAATGCATTTGTTTTTCCAAACAGAAAATCTTGTTGGCAATCATGATGCTCCTATAAGATGTGTTGAATATTGTCCAGAAGTGAATGTAATGGTAACAGGAAGTTGGGATCAAACAGTCAAGTTATGGGATCCAAGAACACCTTGTAATGCAGGAACATTTTCTCAGCCTGAAAAGGTTAGTTCTTAAATTATTTAGAGTGCTGTACATCATTTCAACATGGATTAATTCTACTGATTACCATAGATATACATCAATAAACATATAATTGCATAGTGAGTTAAATAATGAGTGCAATAGAGATGTGGAAAACTTAATTTTCTGTGAATGGAACATATATCTGGATGTTCCAAACAAGTATGATCTGGAGGAAAAATAAAATGTTCAGTATTCTCAAGAATGTTCATCTGGAAAAGTTAGGTTTGCATGCAACAGATTAGATTATTGTTTTGAGATTACACATTGTGAAATTTCCTTTTCCTGTTCAGGAGAAAATGGGAGAAAACTGGAGATTTACCCTTGGCTAGAATGCTTGTTTGTTTGCAGGTTTGTTTTGTCTTGTTAGTCAGAATTGATCCCTAAATGCGGAAAAAAATCAATGCAGTTCTTTAGGTAGCACGTTGAGAAGTTGCTTGCCATTGTCTTCTTCCTAAGTCTGAGAGAGAGACACTGGTCTAAGATCACCCAGCTGGCTTTCACAATTTCCTTGCTCCTAGTCCAATATCTTGAATAAGTAGACCAAAGTGGATCTCTTAAGGTATATTGATTAGCTCTAAAATGCCAGACATAAAAGAAAATCATGGCTTAAGCTATTTGATTTGCACATTAAATTTCCATTTCTGAGTTCTATTCTACATTGTATTGTTTCTATTCTTAAAGAAATTAGTTTGCATTAACCAGTAATATAATTAGTTACCCAAGGTACAATACTTAGCATAAAAAGTATTCCTTAGATACACTTTCCCCCCAATCCCTTAGTTAAATCCTTATCAGACTTTTGCCTATTTTGGGTCCATCTCTAGAATTCCTTAGGGGTGGTTCTCTTGTTTCACTTCCACATGAACCAGTGAGAAAGATCACCTGTCAGTTCTGGGTATCCTGTCACCAATATCAAGATATTAAATGTGTGGTGGAATTTGAAATTGTATGAAAATATTTTTATGTGGCTATCTTTGCAGTAATGAAATATCATTACCAAAGCTTGTTGCATAGTAATATAGTTTATTTTTTTGGCTTTACTATTAATTGGATCAAGTCTTAATTTGTTGTCTTTGGGAACTGCTATATGCATGTTATTGTATAAGATTAGGATTAGATGTTTCATTTAAATAGATAAAATTAATTTGAACATTTCTATAATAGGATAAATTCCTTAGAATATCCTTGGCCAAATTTGTCTTTTTTAATTTATATATTTTTTAGAATGAGACTTATGATGTTAGGTAATCCTCAATTTACAACAATTCATTTGGTGACTGTTTGAAGTTACAATGGCACTGAAAAAAGTGACTTATAACCATTTTTCACCTGTCCGTTGCAGCATCCCCATGGTAGTGTGATAAAAATTCAGACTAGTTCATCTTTATGACAATTGCAGGGTCATGTGAGCACCTTTTGTGACTTTCTGATAAGCAAAGTCAATGGGGAAGCCAGATTCCCTTAACAACCATGTTATTAACAAATACGATTCACTTAACAACTGTGGCAAGAAAGGTCATAAAATTGGGCAAAATTTACTTAACAAATGTCCCACTTAACAACATAAATTTTGGGCTCCGTTGTGATCATAAGCTGAGGACAAGTATTTTCCTCTTTGGGCCTATATTTGGAAAGCACATATGTAATTATCTTTGAAATGCTGGCAAAGATTTGATTCTTGGTATACCAAACTTTAGCAGCCCGGATATTAAAAGTAGGTATACTAATGCAATATTTTGCCTCTTTTTTCAAGGTGTATACATTGTCTGTATCTGGTGACAGATTGATAGTGGGAACAGCTGGTCGAAGAGTTCTGGTGTGGGACTTACGGAACATGGGCTATGTTCAGCAGAGAAGAGAATCAAGTCTTAAATATCAAACCCGTTGCATCAGAGCATTTCCCAACAAACAGGTATTTAACTTGTATAGCAATGTTTCAGATTTAAGCTTGTGGCATGAAACATGCTGTTGTTACTTTAGCTGTCGCCTAGCTTTTTGAAACTTTTTAAATTTGCTATTTTTCTTTTTGTTTGTATGTGTCTAGGCATGCCCAGAGTCGTTTTGAAGTTAGTATAGAAATTTGATTAATCCCAGTGTATGGGAATTCAGTTCAATTAATGTACAGCAAATATTGGAACAGTATCATGCTTAATATGGCTTGATTTTTCTAACAGTTAGGCTTTCAGAAAGTACATAAAACGACTTGCTTAGGAGCCCTTTCTAGATTGGCTGTTTTCCTGGAACTGTCAACACGATGAAGAAAATTAATTTTGAAACAAGAGAGTCTTTGTTTTGATTACTGTATTATTATTTTTGATGGTTATTCTATGCAGCATCTAATCATTATTTTCTGTTCTCTTATTTTCTTGTGGTAGAAGAAAAAAGAAGGAAACAAATTGTGCTCTTGATTAAAAAATAGTAAATCCTAGAAATAGATTTCTTTTTTAATACAGTGAAGGAATTAATTTCATTTATTACTTGTGGGCAAACATGTTCCCAATGAAGTCTTTGAGGTGGCTTTTCATTTCTGAAAAGGTTTTGGGATATATTTCTGTTTCCAAGATTTCTGAATTAATCTTTCTCAGTAGACATGAAGTAGGAAATTATTTCCAATTACCTTTGGAATCTTTTATTCCACGGTACACAATTCACAATTGAAATGCACAAATGTAGAATGTGATAAAAGTATTTACACAAAAGAAAATTTTATGTAGTTGTTTGTGACAATAACTAAAGGATCTTTGTGTGTTCAATAGGGTTATGTGTTAAGCTCCATAGAAGGTCGGGTTGCAGTTGAATATTTGGATCCAAGTTTGGAGGTACAGAAGAAAAAATACGCTTTCAAATGCCACAGACTGAAGGAGAATAACATTGAGCAGATTTACCCCGTCAATGCCATCTCTTTTCATAATGTCCATAACACATTTGCTACAGGTAATTGTTTTCTTATTGTATCACTGGTACTAGATATTCAGACCTAATTTGTATGGGTAGTGATCCTGGTTTCATATGCAATATTTCATCCATTTTATTATTTATTTGATAGCTAAGTAGCATACATAGGTTTCTATCTATTTTTCTTCCAGAACTGTTCTATTCAGCAACTTGACTTGTCCAGAGTTGTGTAATGAGGAGTGGCTTGGAACTTTTTCCAGCAAGCCCTGAACCATTTTATGATCTTTGTATTTATGATCTATGATGTTGTAAAGCCTTGGACTAGTATTTAGCCCTGAACCTCTTTTAATTGGCCATAACTGCAGTTCCTGAACATTTCAGGTTGTTAAATTAAGGGGGGAAATGTACAGAGTGTAATGCCTTTTGAACTTTGATTGATTTGCACTGATTTCAGATTGTTGGGCTTGTTTCTTTTCTGGATTTTTGTTCTCTTTTTATAAAGAAAATTAATAAAACTTTTTGCACTAACCTTACAAGTTTTCAATAAGGTTACAGAAGAATGTAAAATTAGTTCCTAATAGTTATATTAATTAGTTCCTAATTCCTTCTTACATGTCTATTTGTAGGTGGCTCTGATGGCTTTGTCAATATTTGGGATCCGTTCAACAAAAAAAGACTCTGCCAATTTCATCGTTACCCTACCAGTATAGCTTCACTAGCTTTCAGTAATGATGGGACTACTCTTGCAATAGCATCCTCATATATGTATGAAATGGATGACATTGAACATCCTGAAGATGGTATCTACATTCGCCAAGTGACTGATGCAGAGACAAAACCCAAGTAAGTATGTTCCATTTATACTTGAAATGTTCTTAGTGCTTATTCCAGGATCTATTAATTTTCCTTAATTCATAAACAGCATTGATGATTACTGTGGAAAATACATTTTCACCATAAGACTGGAATTAATTTTTTCTTCTCTCCAAACTGTAGATATCTGTAAGTGATTAGATGACTAAGGGATAAAATTGTCTATTTGCTTTAGGGAAGGAGGTCAAAATTTCATTCTTTCTTTCTTTTTCCTTTTTGTAAATTTTATTTGAGTTTTCACAAAGAGAAAAAAAATACAAATAAAACATCTTTTTTGAAAGTAGCGTAATGCCGGGTTACATTTCTTCGTACAGACACAAATTCAGGTTCATGCTCATTTTTATATTCTATTCCATATCTTATTACTATTTTACATTTTCTGCATAGCTTCTCCCCTCTTTTAATTTTCTCAATTTTATTTTAATTATCTCATCTCAATTCAAATCATTGTATTTATATTTTTTGTCCTGTTTCAATAATCTTTTCTCATTAAACAAAATTTCTCCTGTAGTTACTGATTGGAGTATGACGCCTTTATTATCTTTTCCCTAAAGTTGTAACATTCAATATAATACATAACTTCCATTCGGATTCTGCTTGGTACATTCTTAAAATACACACTGTATTCTTAAAAAAAGAAAAAAATTATAAATGTATATAATTAAAACAACATTCCATTCCAGTTCAATTCTATCAATATTAATATTCATTAAAGTCTTAACATCTTTAACATTACTTTTCAATTAAATATCATACTTCTATGGGAACAATTATTAGCTTTCCATAGTTAATTTCCCCCCTCTTCACTTATATTTTATAAAACATTAACTAATTAAAATGTTCCCATTCCTTCCTAATTCAATTTTCTCATTTATTTTATTTCACTTATTTTGTTCACAAACATTTCACTAAATTACACTAATTATTTTATCCCTCATTTTAATCATATGTTGTTTCCAATTTTCTAAAGTTATTTCTATTACTAATATAACAATACAATCTTATTGTACCTTTACAGAATCCCTTTTTCAGTTAGATTTTCACCCATTATCTCTAAACAGGTCCTGTTTCTCTATATCTTGCTCCAGTCCTTTGTAACTTCTTTTCCTTTTCTTCTTCCCTCTCTTCTTCTCTCTCCCCTTTTTACCCTCTTGTCTCTCTACCTCTATTTCTCTCTTCTGCATTCCCCTTTTCTGTTGCTTTCTAGTATTATACTTATTTTTCACATTATTTTTCTTTTATTTGGTTGTTTTTTTAAGTCTTAAATTCTCCATTCTCTTTCCCCCTTTCCTTTTTCTTCCCCACATAAAATTGCTTGTTCAATCAAGATGGCATCTTTTTTGTCCCAGTCTTCTTGTTTTGCAGTTGTTTCTTGTTGTTTCTCATAGTTCCAAATCTCCATTTCTAAGAATTGAAAAACGAAGCCAAAAGAACCCTTCCCTTCTTGTGCATCTTCTTTGTACTTTTTAAGTTCCATTTTCAATTCATCCAGAAGTGGTGCCATTGTATAAATTTTTAAATAACCACCCGATTGATTTTAGCCATTCAAATATAACCAAGAATCCAAAGATCACCAAATAATTCAAATACACGCAAGCTGTTTCTTTTTTGGTCTTTTTTTTCACTTTCTCTTCCTGGGGTTACTATTTAGTTGCAAAGTTTCAGTTAAAATGTATCTTTTAGAAGTCTTGTTGAAGTTTTACTGTAGATTCTTTTTAATTCCAGGCAGTGTCCTCCCTCTTCCAGATGCTGCCCTTATTCTTTTTCTCTCCCTTCCTGCTTATGAAAAAGAAAATTTTTAATGTGCAGAAATCTTTATTATCCCTTTGGCATTTTGTTTTATTTTCAGCTTAATTGCCTATTGATGTCAAAGCGGATTTTTCCGATTTCTTATTTAAGTCTCTTAATTGTCAGTTTAGGGAAGGAGAGAGAAGGGAAAAAAAGCCAAACCTTTCCCTTTTCACTTTCCTTTGCTGCTTCCGACTCTTCTTTGGGAGCGATGTTATTTTTTGTAAGTTTAAATTCCAGGGTACCTTAGTTGTTGCTTTTACAATTTAACCTGGTCAGCCAAAACTTTCACTTCTTATCTTCCTCTGCACATTCTTTTCCGGTCGAGTTCTCCTTTGTGCTGGCCATTTCTGACCACTGCTACAACCGCCTTAAGGAAAGGGAGTAATGGCCAGCTGAGGAGGAGAGATGCGGCTTTCCTCAACCCTGCTGGCAGTCTCCCCCTTCTTCACCACCTCTACGGGATGGCTTAGCCACGAAACCAGCCGGCTCGGGGCGCTCCAGCGGCGAGCCCAGTCAGAAACCATGCACGATCGCGAATTTCTGTCTGTCGCCGAAGCCCTTCAAACCGGAAGTCCCAAAATTTCATTCTTTCTGAATGAGCTATTGTACAAAGTCATACATATTTCTGGCTTATTGCTTTAAAATGAAGCTGAAGAAGCAAAGATCACTACCTTAAGCAAAACTAATTATGTGGGATTTTCAAGCTATTGACTGTCATTTTTGCACATGTGTCAGCTCTCAACTTTAATATGTTGGGCCTGAATTAGATACAGCAGTTGTGTAAATTACACATACACACATACAATGTTTAAATCCTTTGATATCCAAAATTATACCACCACTGGTAACACAGACAAAATGAGGATGTGCACAGGCTTCACATATGTACTCTCAATTATATTGTGAGGGTTTTTTTTCATCATGAATGCTGTTCAGTTATATTGTTTCTAGTGTATATTAAAATAAGAACATGCATTGCATATGCTTGTAAGGTTTGAAAATAGGATACTGATTGCTATCATTAGCCCACAAGTGTCTGATTGCCATTGGCATATGGACCTTTTGGAAGGAAAGGTAGGGCAGGTATAGAATTGGCCAAATGCCTGTAGGAAAGATAAATCTCTTAATATAAACCTGAACAGTTGAATACTATATTAGAAAAAAGAGATATGTACAGTTCTCAATTTAGAGTTAGGCTACATTTTGAGCTTTTGTGATTGGGAAAGCTTTGAGTCATCTTCCTAAATTCTGTCTGTTGAAGAGACTTTGTGAATCACATTGTCTCTGTTGGCTTATTAAAACTGGTAATTGAATTAAAAGTATCTCACAGTACGAAATTTAACCTGATTACTGCATTTTGACATAGAATTTACGGATGGCTATTACAGTGATATTTCCAAAGTCAGTTCAGTTAGAGTGATGCAAAGCACTCAAGCAAAAGAACTAGAATGATGAAGAATGTTTAGATTTCAAGGATTATTTATTTATTTGACTTATAAAATGAATTATATTTGCCTCACCTTCCCTCTAAAATAAAAATAGTCCCAAACCCATTCCTGAAGGCAGTTTACAGTAAAGGATTAAAGTGATGATGTTTGCATAGGCTAATATAAAACTGCATGCTGTCCTGAAATTCAGTATTGTGTACATTTTTTTCCCACTGAGGTGCATGATCTGCCTCAAGTATGTAATAAGTAGCATTGCATTTCAAGTCACATTCTTTCAGAACTCTGTTGAAGCAGCAGCATATCACCTTACAATGGAGCCAGTTGAAGATAGCCCACAGTGCCAACAAATGTTCATTACATTTTTAGTTAATATAAACAGATATTCAATCTGAATAGAGAGAGACCCCAAAAGAAAGTTTTAATATTTTAGTTAAGGGTAACATTGAATAATATTTTTTGTGTGAAAATTTGTTACTGTGCTTGGATATATTTCTTTAAAAATACTGTCAGAAATGATAGAGACAGCCACAGCCTCCCAAAACAGCACTGAAGCAATAGCAATAAGACTTAGACTTAGTGTATTTTAAATGTCAATCACAATCATTCTACATTTTATATTTTATTCTTTTAGTCAGTTTATTTTTGTGTACGATCTGTTATGCTTTGCAAAGAGTACAAAAAAATCAGCTTAATTTTTTTTTTCACTTATCCTATTGCACTTTTTCTAATGGATGTGTTCCTGTAAATTATTTGCATTTCGAGAATTTAACATAGGAAACTCTTAGTGGAGTGAAGACAACCATATGACTTTACATTCAGCTGTTTCGATACTTGTGTTGTGCTTGCTAATTATAGGGATGCTTCATTCTGCTTTTCGAAGAGGTTAATTTGCAATTAAACAATATTTCCTCTTAGCTGTCCATTATTTTCTGAAACAGATGGTTCATCATTTCCTGGGCTGTTAAAAACAGCAAGGTTAAGGTTAGACTCTTGGGAGTTGGCTAGTTTTGAATCTTATTACAGGATGTAGAAGCAAAACTAATAAGAATAGCACTTAATATCATTTTGTGGCTGCAAACAATTATTTATTAGTAAACAATTGATCCCAGAAGGGCAAATTGTTTGAATCGGTAATGAGCTGAGACAAGGCAGAGCGTTCTGTATCTGTTTATTTGCAAAATAATTGTAACATAATTGCAATGCATTTAGACAGGCATCTATTTGGACTTGTTTCTCTCTATAAATGAATTTCTGAAGGTTTAATTTATTTTTCTACATGTTTATTCCTTTCTTCAGCCAGATGCGGTAGAAATTTTATAGTGACCCAGTACAATAGACACATTCAATAATAAAAATAACAATAGCTCCTGACCTACTTTTTCTATTACCATTTCTAAAATTCTTATAATGATTCTGTTTTGACATATTTTGAAATACGAGGAAATGCTAAATCTTACTGAGATTTTATAAAGGTCTGCTGCTTTAGAAAGTTAAAAATTCATTTTGAATATTATAGAAATACAAATGCATATCTAAAATCTCTTTCTTTGTTGCAGGTCAACTTAATCTTGATCAGAAACTTTTACTTCTAGCAAAACAAACCAATCCTGGGATTAAATGAAGATGTTTCAATGTTGTCATAATGTTTCATTGGGTATATTGTAAATCTTTAAAAAAAAAAATAGCCAAGAATTCTTACCGTATTTTTGTTCACCGTATTTTGAAATATTTCTGTAAGCTAGTTCATTCTTTTGAAATGTGACAGTTGAATTTTTGTATAGATTAAATGGTGGCCTAATTGTTTGAATAAATATTTTCAACACACTCTCTCTCTCCCCCTTTCTATCCCAAAAGCCATACTTTCAGGTGCAGTGGCTATAAATGTTAAGTCCTGAATTTAATAATGGTATCGTTTTTGGTGTACTGGGCTTGTATTGCAGCAACAACAATATGATGAAGAAGAAAACATTTTTCAAGCAGCAAAGCAACTTAAATTTGATTGATGTTAACTCTAACCCTTCCCTGTTGATTTTTTATTGTAATTAAGTATGTCCTGTAGGTTTAAGGTATTTACAGCCTAAATTGAAGTTTTATGGCTGCTTTTAATGATCAGTGTCTGCCTTGGAAAAAAGAATACTTGGTCTTTTAACAAGCACCCCAATTCTACAATAGATGTTTGTATCAGATAAAACTTGTTCCTACAAATCTGTTGTTTTTGCAGGATATTAATTTGAAATATAATAAATTCAGGATAGTGTATATATTTTGTAAATTTTCTTAATTTTTGAAACAGTTTTCAGTTACAACTAGAGCTAAATTCTGATGGCAATAAAATATGCAATTAAAAGTAAGATTGTTAAGAATATCAACCCATAGAGTCCATGTGAAAATTTTGACAAATAATTATTTGTAGATCCCAAGCTCTGCAATCATCTTCGAGACTTTTTCTGAAATTTTATTGTTTGGGAGGAAGCTTCGGATATTTTCTTTATTGCTTAAACTATTAATCTGATTTTAGGATATATCTTGGCCGTTTTTATTTCCCCCTTCAAAATAATTTAAGATTACATTAGTGGTTTTTAGAGAGGTGTTTTGGTGATAAAGTTTATTCGCTCTTGTTCTAAAATTTGTAATAGTTTACATAGTTATAGAATAAGTTTGGTATCTTATGTTTATTATTAATCACCATCAGGTCATCCAATTATCTTTCTGTAATTGTCCCAATACCCTAATGGTTAATTTCTGCCTTGGCTGTGTGATTCAGAAAATATATTTCAAGAATAAGTAGCTATCAACTATTCTGTTTCCATTAAAAAAGTTATCAATGAATCATACTTCAGCCTTTATTCCGTTAAGTCACATTTAGCTTTGCTCCAGCTGTAGTCTGTCTAGATGGTCTTCAGATTAATGAAGTAGAAATGTATGGCTTCTGTACTTTCTGAACAATGAAATCTTAGTAGCAAGGGTTATTTTTGAAATAGAAAGCCTTTCCATTTTATTCCCTTATGAGTCATGAAAATTAATGCATTCCATTTCTTCAGCCATTTGCTATTGCCACAATTCGCAGCCTTTGAAAATGATTGTGAAACTGTCAACCGATCAATGTACTCTAATACTAAACTCTAGCATTAGTACTACTAGATATTGTAGGAAGCTTACACATGGCTTGCTGCAATCTTTTATACCTTCACTGGAGGCATAAACAAGGCCAAAATAAGAGTAAATGAGGCAAAAAAATGAAATTCAAACAGAAAAAGTGATGCAAATATATTGGAGGATTTAAAGGTGCTAAGTCAATAAAATGCCAATGAAATTCAAATAGCAGGGAAATTGGAAATAGGAGAATGTGGGTTAGACATTGATCTATATATCAGATGCCAATACACATAAATGGTCAGGTTCCAAACCAAGTAAGTGTGTTTTCAGTATTTAGGAATTATTTCTGACTTAGCACCCATATACTCATTTATTACAGGTTCAATAGTGGAAGTGTTATGCAAATGGAAATGTATAAGTACTATAGCAAAGAATTCTGGTAGGACAGTGATAAAACCGTTAGAAGCAGTATAAAGTTGTATACGCATATATGTATATGAGAAGCATTTCTTCTATGAAGGAGCAATTCATTTTCTCTGCAAAATGTCACCAACGTTGAGTAATACATAGTAAACTTGCGTTTTGCTATATGAGGTAAAGCAGAATGATTCCTGAGCAGTGTAACTGAGCTCTGAAAAGATTACAGGGCTTTCCAGAACCTAGAATCATACTGCTCATTCTAATAATTCCTTCCATCATCCCAGGCTGCACACCTTATTAAAATGTGACAAGATGTCTCTCAAAAGACTATAACATGGTCTTTATAGGCGAGGACATCTGTATCCCAAATGCTGTGCTGCCACATTTCAACGAATAAAATATTCTGATGAATTAGGGTAATTTTTAATATGTGTAAAATTTATAACTGAAACCCACTGAATATAGTCTAAAGAAGGAAGCTTAGGTTAATGATATAAACAGGTTCTTTTTTTCTTTTAACATTATGAATTTACATTTTTGTACTTAGTTTGGCTCAAGATACATTAATGGTCAAATTCTGTAGATCCTGGAAGCATATTTTAAAATAAATACTTGGATCTGTTTTTTGCAAAGCTGTGCTGAAAATGCAATGTGTTTTCAAAGAGTTAGATTTTATGGACAAGAAATCATGGGAACCAATGCAGATGCATTTATTTATCTAATTTATATAGTTGCCCGTCTCACAGGCAAGTGACTCTTGACTTATCTCATACCTTTTACTTTTATTTCAATTGCTCAAAGTGTTTTCTCTCCTATCCTTTTGGTTCACAAAACTAAATGATTTATAAATGAAGTTTGAATTTGGTGACTGCCCTTGCTTACATCAATGATCAACATTTCACTCACCAATCACTTAGAACAGGGGTATCAAACTGACAGCCCCCGGACGGGATGTGTCACACACAGGCCATGCCCAACCCAGCTCCATGAATGGGAAAAATGTCATGAAACGTCACGTGACAATAACGTGATGCTGCAAGTTTGACACATGATTTAGAATCTGATATTCTCTCAGATTTTTTACAGGAACAGTGATATCTCACAAGATTATAGCGTTTCTTTAATATTTTCTCTACATTTCAATTAATACATTTCTTTATTTAATTTGAGTGCTTGGATCACATATAGGAACATTCCGAAGTTGATGTACACATGATATTCATGACCATCACCATTCCACGTCAAGTCTCTCATCTGCCAATAAATGAATATGCAAATTTTATTTAATTTCTTTGGTACAACCATAGCATTCAGCAGTGTGGTTGGACTACTACTTTTGTGCTGTGCATACCATAGTTATAATTTTGTATTTCTGTGCCATCCATTGTGCATAACAAAACCAAGAAGTGTTTATTTTATGATTGGATTTTATTCTTGGGTATTTTGCATGGATAAAAATCTTTCCTCCCTCTCAGTACTTTGCCTTTACGTTACAAATTTATGTTGTTTGATCTGCCCACTGCCTTTACTACAACAATCACTTAGCTTGCTAACTTCATTCTCTTTCCTTTGCTTTCTTAGTGGTGGGGTAACATTTCCTCTGAGATACTTCAGCTGATGTTCACAAATGGTATATATGGTTTAATTGTTTAATTGGTATTCACCTTATGAGCTTTTATAAAGCACATCATTTATACTTAAGATGCTGCAGTATAACCAAATCTTAGGGAAGTGGGAAGACCTAATATTTAAACAATTTTTAAGGCCCAGGGTTATTTGAGAGCGCCATCTAGAGTTTCCTTTTAAAAAAAAGATATCAACTGAAAAAGTAAAATAGTCTAGCTAAAATTCTCAAATTCTAACCCGACCCTCCATAAATAATTATGAAAGAATGTTTGTTTTCAGAACAAATACTATAAGATTTCAAATGGCAGTTCTATACATAATGTAAATATGTATGTTTTTAGCTTGGAAATTGATACATAACCCAATCTTAAAAATAAATGTGTGCTATTGGTAATTTTATGTTATGTATCATTAAAATTAAATGTGCATCTAACATGCATACATTAGCAGTTCCATAGAATGCATACATTGTTGCAAGCACATTTTCCAAACCTTATTTTTGATGGTTGCCATCATATTGTTTTTTCAAAGAATTCTTGATTTTTATCACCAACTTTTTAATTTGTGTGTCAGGTGTCATGAGCAATTGGAAATGAACTAAATGCAACCTCCCCCCATTGTCTTGTGGACATGCAATTCTCAATCTTGTGAGAAATACAAGTATTTTGTGAGAAATACTATGCAGACATCCCTCATGCAGATAAGTCAGGTTGTCTTTTACGTCACTACTGAGATAACTAGGGAAGGATCTAAAATTTTTCTCCCAACCTTTGCCAGTGATGATCTCTGCCATGTATGCGTCATCATGTGTATGCCATGCCTATCTCCCGACTATGTGAAGGCAAAAAACCCCATTGCAATACATCATGATATGTCACATGATACAATCAAGTTTGACACCCGTGTTGTAAAGTCATGTGAGATGGGTGCCTATATAAATATGATTGATTGATTGATTTGTGGATTACCTATACCTGATGAAAAGAAAAGAAAAAAAATTCTTACTACCTCATATAAAGTGAATAAAACAAAAACCTTGAACTGAACAGAAGATCTATTTTATCAAAGCATTGTGGTATTTGATTTTTTCTTAACTATAGTTTTTAATTTAAAAAACAAAAGTACACTTGGAGTTTCTGATTTGGACATAATTAAATCATTTCCTCAGCCCTCTAATGTCCTTAATCAACCCCAAAGAAGTATAAATCATTAAACATCTTTTTGGGATTAAATTTTTATTCCTAATTATACACAAAAGATATATATCATAAAATATTCATCATATAATTGTGATTTAAAATGTACAGTCTCCCAAAAGATGTGATTAGCAATTTTAAACACCCCAAACTTAATTAAGTAGATAATGGATGAGAACTGAGCCTTTTAAGAGGGGGAAATATTTGATTTTTTTTAAAAAAAGGTTTTATCACTGGGTCTAGGATGGCAAGGGACTTACCCAGTAAGAAATACAATCAAATTTAAGGTGGCATACATTGCTTTGGAATCCTGAAAAAAAACATTGTATTTAAAAAACACTTTTCCTGTGGACAAATTTAATTCTTTTACATGCATTTTTAAAAATATGCATTGATCTTGTAGAGATTCCTTGGTATATATTAATCTTTTCATGCTTTTGTCCAATTTCATGTCCCATTTGCTATATGTCTCCTTATGTTTGCACCACAACAAAAGCACAGTTTAGTTCAGCCAGTCAGAATCTATGCAAATTTCCTTGTCCACATGGAAAGTTCAATTACCTATACTGGACCATTCATGTAACAGTCAAAATAGTCAAGATGGCAGCCACAATCATGGAATTAAAGCCTTGTCTCCTTTCACACATCAGGATGCATGTTAAAAAGGGCAGGGCTTTGACTGCGTGTTGTGACTGCTATCTTGACATTTTGATCTCTCTGCAAATATCCCTTGGCGTCATACAAATGTCATAAATGTCATAAAATCAGCAGCAATGCCAATCCAGTTAATAAAATAGGAGCAGGATACCGATGGTCCTCATTTAATGTCATTGATTGTTCAGCCACTGTATGACCAGACCTCGTATTTATGGCTGCCTCGGCATTACCATGATCACATGATTGCAGTTTGCTACTTTACTGTTTGTGTTCCCCAAGCACAGTCACTATGGAAGCCAACAGGAAGTCAGAAGTCACAATCACGTGAGGTCCTTGCTTAACAATCTGTGTGGTCCTCCATTAATAATGACAGTTGGGACTGCTGGAACTGCCATCACTAGATAGTGCAGTCATATTATTTCTTTCCCCCCACCCTCCATTATGTCCATGTTACTTAACAATGTAGTTTCTAGTCCCAATTACTATCATTAATCCAGGATTACCTCGTAATTATTCAATTACAGTAAAGGTTAGCGAAGATGGCAATTGCAGAGTTGCAGTTGAAGCCCCACTGCCCTTGTTCATATATATCATGCATTTATAACAGGGGCAACCTTTTGGACATCATTCCACCACTGCCCTCTTGCATGTTTATACTTCTCTTACAGACAGTGCTGTGTAACACACTTAATGCAAGAAGCTACTATTGCAATACAAAAAGCATTATACAATAAACCTTAAAACTTTATTCTTTTGTTTTCCAAAAAGTTATTGCGTTGCAGAATTTGCTTTATGATAAATTCTGCTATTGCAACCTGATTTCAGTGCTTAT